GTATATATGTACATATCGTCGTTTAAAGTACAAAACCGCGTATCATCAAAATGCAAAACCGCGTATCAACAAAATGCGAAACCGCGTATGTGAGGTTGCATAAATTATTTTCTATAGTGTAAAAACACTCATATTTTAAAATGGCTCTCTTTTTTTATAAAGCAATCGCATATCTGGCCAGTATATTTCAGGACGAATGGATAAGGGTTGAGCCAAGAGCTTGTGTGAGCAAATCCAATTTTTGCGAGCAAATGTCAGTTACGCGGTTTTGCAGAATGACGATACGCGGTTTTGTACATGGTTCTCTATGTTCTCTATTGATTCGTATGTACTATTTGAATTTAAAGAAATAAAAAAATTTAAAGAGTTAAGTTTTTGGAGTAATTGATGTCGCTATTAATAAATGTTTGTAATAATCTTATCAACCGTTATGTTAAATTACGGGGTTCTTACGATTTTTTGCAGAACAGGTCTTTTTGATCCACTGTTTAAAAAATGGCTTATAGATGGTTAAAATTTCCACTAAAATATTAAGCGCAACATTTTCCTAAGGATAACCGAAAGTAATGAAAAATACTACTAATTTCCACCAAGAAGGGGGAACTTTAACCCAGTGTAAAAAACATTGCAATGCGAAGGAGCAAAAAATCTGTTTAAAAAATATTCAATACTTTATTAAAGAAAAATAATGCAATAAGGGCACTTCTGTTAAAACTGCTTTCTGAGATATTATCGTATGTTTTTTGGTGTGTGAAAACTTTCTTGTTGTTGTAGTAATATGAAAAAAAGGAATATTGTGATATTGAAAACAAATTTTATATATTCTGGAGTAGTAGTTCCTTCAAGCGATGTATTTCAATGTGCATTCATCATGGAAATTTTGTACAAAATTCCTTAGGCGCCGAACGCCGCCGCCGCGGCTGCGGCAGCGTGACTCGGCGGCGTATACCTCTAGTATGTACACACGTATACAAGAGCTGATAAAGAAAGGGTACTATTTCTGATAACGTACAACTAATTATTCCTTGACGTCCGCATAAATTTGTGGATGTATGTAGTTTTCCAATGTTTTCTATAGTAGATACTTGTATACGAAACCCGCTTTGAATGTAACGTATACGTACATATGTATATGCCTATGAATTCATGCATGTACGTAACTGCATTCATACATTTGTTTTATACATAAAGCAGGGATTACACGATTTGTACATTTTGTACGGTTCAGCTCAATAACAACTTTCTAAACACCACTCTGTAACTGTAAAAATGTACAAATTGTGTATTCTCTGCTTAACACTGTCCAAAAAAAAAAATTTGCGGCAGAGTCAATAAGAGCTGATTCCCATAGATTTTTGTATGCAGAATCAGAATCTGACCTTAGAAATTTCTAGGCTCTAGTTTTTGAGATATTTTGACTTAAAGAAACGATTTATTAGAATATTTTGAACTGTTATTGTTTTTAAAACAGAAAACAAAAAAGTTTTTTAAAACTGACTTAAAAAAAGGACGAGGTTGTTAATTCGTCGGAATATATATATACATATATATATATATATTTTATGTATGTTACCGCAAAACTTTGGACAACGTTAACCGATCTCTATAATTTTTAAGGAAAAAGGAAAGGGTATACCTCAGATGTGGTTCGATACTAATTTGGTTTAGATTAGATCATGAAGAAATTAACGGTATTCTTAAATTTGTATATGAGAATTGAAATCGGTTTTGTTTTTTGCTTGTTGTAACTTATGTTTATAAAAGTCAAATGTTCACCTTTTGTGCTAAGATGCAATGTTTAGCTTTTTACCCCGTAATTCCATTAATAATAATAATTATAATAGATTGGCGCTTAGACTCATGGCAGAAATACAGGCTGCATTCTAAAACGTCGAAATACAAAGCATCAGTCTCTTTTACTACCAAACCCCAGTAGATTGTAATGTCAAGTGTGCGCAACCGCGGCTTGATGGTAGTTTCCAACTAGGTTGCGCAAGTAAGACTTTCTTTTAGTGCGGTTTAGAAAACGTTTGGAATTCACCCACACTCGGAGCATTGCCATTGCCGCCCGTTGTTCAGCAAAAACCTTTTTTCTATATTTTTTGCGAATTTCATTAAAAAATTCGTAATACTTTGGGTGATATAGGAAATGGTCCATTATAGGAAATCTCAGCCATGATCCGTTTTCACCATTAAAGTGTGCCGCAGAAACGTATGTACAGAAAAGTTGCGAAAATGGTAGTGAAAGGATACGTTTTCGGCTGCTTTTGTGAAATTTGTCTGATTGAATTTTTCGTTCAACACACTTTCGTTCTGCACTTCACAGATACTTTTTTATAGTTCAAAAGAAATAAAGTAAAATTAGGAAACGCCTGACGGAAGTCGAACCCGGCACCTTCTGGAAGCTACGTATCCCTGCTACCAAATGTTTAGCTTAAGCAAATAAAATACAATTATTGCTTTCAAATGATATGTTTTTCGAACGTTTTCCGGATACGAAAAATGAAGATAACTGTATGCGTTTTCGGATACGGAAAATTGAACTAAACTGCACTGTCGGCAAAATTTACCTTTTTTTTGCTGGCTGGGTAATTACTAATGAAAGAATGTAGATACAGTGCCGGACAAAAGTATTGGCACAGAGAATTTTTCGCAATATCTGAAAAGTTTTTTATTCTAATTTATTTTCGATAATTTTTTATAAATATATAGTTCGTCCTACACCAAAAAGCATAAAAACTAAATCTCTAAATTGTGTGCAAAACTCATGAAAATTCAATGAATTTGCATACTTATTTGCAACTTTCTATTCAGATTTTTTAGAAAAATTCTAAGTATGCAGTTTTATAGCTCAACTAATTATAGTATAACAAAGTGCAAGCTTGAAGGTGCTAAAAAATCGCATTGATTTTTGGCAATTTTTTTTTCAGTCAGGTTCTTCCGTACAAAGTATGTTCGACAATTAATTTTTGTATGGAGAAAAAAATGAGTAGATACTTCAAACTTGCACTTTGTTATACTAAAATTAGATGGGCTATAAAACTACATACTTAGAATTTCTCTAAAAAATCTGAATAAAAAGTTGCAAATTAGTATGCAAATTTATTGAATTTTCCTGAGTTTTGCACAAAGTTTAGAGATTTTGTTTTTATGTTTTTTGGTGAAGTACGAACTATATTTTTATTAAAAAATATTGAAAATAAATTAGAATAAAAAACTTTGCATACATTGCGAAAAATTCTCCGTGCCAATACTTTTGTCCGGCACTGTATATTCATATCGCACATGTTCTTCAGTGTAGATATTAATTCGATTTTTTTTTTATTTTATATATGTGTATTCAAAAATCGGATTTTTACCTTCCTGGAAAACCCGAGGCAGAAAGTTTGCCCTAATTTGGCCCAAAAAGGAACAGTAAATACTTCCTTGCCATATGATTAACATGAGGTCAGAAATAGTTTTTGCTTTTCAGACTTACGAATAATGTTTAGTAAGTACTCTTTTAAACAACTTATGGAAGTGTTTATACTATATATAATGCTAAGATATATAGCGTCATTAAAATTTATACATACAAGACACCCCAAATTTGCCAACACTACAGCAAAAGTTACAAGAAAAGTTTACCACTTTGCAAAATATGAAAAAAAAAGAATCGAAATGAATCATCATAATTTCTAATGTCTGAACAAACTATGCGCATATGTATGTACACACTTGCATTTTGGCTTATAATAATTATATTACCAAGTTGTATTTGAAAAATCAATTTTTTATGCAAACTAAGCTACACAATAGGCGCGACTTAAAACATTTCGAAAATGCATTGAACCATACAGAAAAATTCGGTTCCATAACTTTATTTGAAAAGCTTTTATACATTGTTAGCAATCACCAAACAGGTAGACAAAGAAAAAAAATATGCAAAAATAGACTTCAAACGATATCCTCCCACCATAAGTACACTATTTACCGATGCAGTTTATTCAGTAACTACGAATACATTTGTATACCTTTTTATTGATAAACTTTTCCGTATTCAAAACTTTGTAATTTTGATATCAATTGCTTAATCACAATGAATAATAGTAATTAAAACGACACCAATTCGCACTGCACAAAAACAATAACATATGTGAGGCAATAAAAATGAAATAACGAGAGAAATTTCATGAAAGAAACCAAAGCAACGAGTTTTTCTAGTACTGTCAATTGCTGATAAAGGTCTAGACACATTTTAGTACCGTAGCGGTCCACGGTGTCACGGTCTATCATTCTTGGTAGCGGTCGTTATAGCTGTGCCGCTTTGCCGTACGTGAAGAGTAGAGAGAAATGCATAAAGCCAAAGCATCACTATCTTGTATTTCTAAATCAGTGCGGCCGCTGTCCCTTCAATTGAAGTTTTTCCCTTCACCTGGGAAGCCTTCGTCACTTCATTTTACTGTTCACATTCCAAATAATAGATTAATCTCCAAAATAAAAAACGAGGTTTGCACGAAAAATAAATTGAATGGCTAAACCAAGGCGAATTAATATAAGGTGATAGCAGGAGTACAAAAAAAAAAAATTACATGTATTTTGTTTTTGCTTTGGCGGCATAAACTGTCGAAATTTGTAAGAGTGTGTGTATAAATTCAAACAAAATTTTTCAATTTGATATCAGAAGCCGTGCGGCGAAACACATACACAAAATCAGCTGAGCTAGTAACACCACCTTATATAAATTCGCTTTGGGCTAAAAATATCAAAATATTCGCCATAAAAAGGCATTTGCATTGTTCAACTTTGAATTCTACTTTTGGTTGAACGGCCTTTCAACTTATCGCTTTCAACAAAGTTGGTCGCCAGCCAACATTTAGCCATTCAACTTCCTTTTCGTGCAACCCTGTGTGAGTTGAACGCAAAATCGCCTCTTGCGAACACCTTTAAAGCCACAAAGTTTTATCTGGCACGGCTTTTACTTCCAATCAGGTGTTTTCTGCAGCAACCCGGCAAACGTGCTCTATTTGGTATGCCCATTAAATCTAGTTGGGGAACATAAGTACGTCAGTCTTGCAGAGAACGTAAACTTGCTTTTTGACAATTCACACGCAAATTAGCGATATGCAACCTCGTATTATTTACGTTCTCTGATTTTCACATTTTCCGAAGGTAGTTTTTTAATACTGCGACCAATAAATTTATTGACTAGAAAAATGGCTCAAAAAAGCGTTAACCCGATTAGCATTTTAAAAAGTATCTACCACAGTGAGTTCCAATGGTAATTATATGCATATTCGGTGGCTGTGCTCGCCGAAAGTGATGTAATAAGATTCGAAGGCATGGTCATGTTTTTAAAATTCATGTGTGTATGTATTTTCCAGGTCTGTGTTGAAGAGTTTAGGAATTTTCCTGATTGGAGTTCGTATGGCTAAGGAATTTGCCGGAGTGGAAATAATGCCGGCGATAGCTCAACATTAATGCTAGTTGTGTTGTTCTTGGTGTAATCCTCGGGTGAGGATGCCTATTTAATAATGTATAAATCAATAAAACAAGTTATGTCAAAAAAACCAAGCGACATATGTATGTAGATCGTAGACTTTTATTGTTAAAATTATATCTTCATGTTTTAATAAATAATACATGCTAAAGTTACTTAGATTTGAATACACCCCTACCAAAATCACAATCTAGAATCCAGTACACTGTTACTGATGTCTTGAACTCTTTCATTGTTCATATCGATTTCATTTAGTAGGCTCTGTGCAAGAATCTGTGGTGTCATATCTCGTTTCAAGAAATTAGTTACCAATTGTCTTGAAGGTACACCTCCACCGTGAGCCAGTATTTCACGACGATATTTTTCGCCCGATTCTCGATTAAATGGATTTTCCTCAAAGTATGTTTGCCATATCCATGAAGCAATAGTTTTCGATATTAAATATGCATAGTACTTTGCACCATAACCAACCAAATGAGAAAATCGCAGCTGCCAAGCCGTATTTTCTACATATGGCAAACTGTAGTACTGTGATTGTACTTTTATCAAAGTATCTGTTGTACTTTTATTTTTCTGTATCGGTCCGCTATGATACACATGGTCCAGGGCTGAATAGAACACCTTATATACAAGAAATCAAGTAGTTAAAAATTGAGGTTTAAGTAAAATCACCAAATTACCTGAATCTGAGTTTCACTGGCAGAAAACAACTTCTTCGAAGCACATAATCGTAGTAGCATGTCTTCGGAAATTGGCTCTTGTGTCTGAAAGTGGCGAGCAAATGTTCTTAACACCCGAGGATCGCTTGCGAAATATTCCATCAGCACTGAAGGGACCTCAGCAAAATCTGTACTACATCGTGTACCAGTGACATGTTGATATTCAGTACGTGCCAGCATCGAGTGCATTGCATGGCCCATTTCGTGAAACAAGTTGTCAACTCTTGAAGGTGACAGTAGGACTGGTCCTGTCCAATGCGGTTGGGACAGATTCAACATAACAACCACGATTGGCACTTGATATTTGCCATCGGGCAGCATTTTCCCACCTTGTATTGTGAAATGGCAATCCTGATTGGGTTTACCATTACGTTCGAAAAAATCACAGTAAATATAGCCAAGTAAGCCCTCAGATTCGTGCACAACCGATATTTTATAGATGTCATTATTCCAAGCTTCCCCTGGTTCCATTTCGGTATTTTTTAAAGATATTCCATACAATGAGCGCATTATATATTCAAGGCCTTCCATACATCCACCCAAACTAAAGTACGGCAAGAATTCACTGGTATTCGCATTTAAAGATTTACGTTCCATTTGTGAGGTAAAATACGGAGGATCCCATGAAGCAAGGCGAGCATCAGCTATTCCGCTATCTTGACGCTACATTAATAGAACGATATTATTTGTAAAAACATACATATATATATTTTGGTTTTAGTACCTTCATTTGTTCCATAATACGGAAATCTGCGTCTGCACGAGGGCGAAGACCATGAGACAGTTCATCCAGAAACTCTTTAACCATCTGTGGATGCTCTACAGTGCTACCATTCAGTGCTCGATGTGCATAGGTTTCGAAACCACAAGTTCGAGCTAGTTCATGGCGACATAACAATAAATCTGAGAGCAGTTGGTCTTGCTGCTGAGATGGTTGAAGGAATAGGCGATAAGCGGTTTCTCGTGCTTGAGCATTTGACGAGTTCGTATATAAACCGGAAACAAGAACGTTGTCACCCTCCGAAGGAAAACTTATCATTAACGTAAATCAAGTAACAATTAATAACTATGTAATTTGTACTAGTCGGTCAGTAACTTACTAACTACGAACTGATGATGGAACATCACTGCGTCGAACAATCGTCGGCTGTACCGCACCAGTCATGAATTTTTGTCCCAACTGCAAAATATAATCATTGAGTCGAACAACTTTTTGGCGTTCATTTTCCGGTAGATGAATGCCCGATTGTTCGAAATCAAACAAGAATAGTTTGGATACATGTTTATCTACGTCGCTGGTAGGGATAAAATCACCATTTTCTACTACATCCCGTAGCGCCATATATAAAGGTTTGTGCGTATTTAGACTTTCTACAATCCCACTTATAGTAATACATGCTTCCTCTGCGGCTTGGCTATATTTGATTTTGGGATGTGCAATTCGTATAAATTCAGCTAAATCAGCTACTTTACAAAGCGAGTCAGAGAGTTCGTCAAAAATCTCGACCTGCATTTAAATTTGTTATAGAAAAATTAAATAGTATTTATAATGGGCTTACCATTTTTCGTCGGCGATTAGTCGATATAGCTTCAGTTATTAATTCATCTGTTTTATTTGCTACATTGTCGCGCATTAGGTAAAATCCTTCAAAGGAACGCAATTCGGGTAGACAAAAGAGCCCCTAAAATTGATGGATATTTAGGCCTCTCAGCCATTTAAAGGTAGCTTTTTTTAAGATAACTTACCGACTCATCTCGCGTAAAGTTGATTTTCTTATATGGAGGAGAGTTGAATGCTGTGGCCAAAGGAGTAGACCATGTTGAGACATTTTGACGTAATTGCTTGAGCGCGGATACAACTGCTCCTTTTCTACCAGTCCTTATCATTTCCAGTGTTCCTGGCTTTTGAAGAGGTAAATGGAAAACTGCCAACCAAAGCGAATTTATACAAGGTAATATTAACAGAACAAAAACAAAAATTACAACAACAAAGTATACGTACATTGACAATCAGTACGAACAAGGCGAATTCATACAAGGCGGTGTTGTCCAATCAGCTGATTTCTTCTTCTTTCCTTCGCCTTACATGTATTTTGTTTTTGCTTTTACTGATTTGACAGCATGCCCCTGAATAGCAACAACAAAATACATGTAAACTTTGAGGCGAATTGAGATTTGAAATTTTGCACCTGATACAAAATACATGTCAAGGCGAATTTATACAAGGTGGTGTTGATGGCGAATTTAGATTTTCGCCGAGGTACGTCTTAATGTCAAAATGATTTGTTCGTTGTAAAATGAATTCGCCTTGTTTACAACAAACACATAATTTTGACATGCAGTAGTACCGCGGCGAAAATTTAATTCTCCATCAACACCACCTTGTATAAATTCGCCTTGAGTACCAAGGTGTATTTAACTTTAATGCACCTTGATCAGTACAAAACAAAATTACAACAAACACATCATTTTGACCAACGCAAGGCGAATTTATAAAAGGTGGTGTTGTAAAATCAGCTGATTTCTTCGCCTTACGGCCCTGTCACACGGTCAGTAATAATCACGATATTTGGATCGCGATCCATATTGATGGATTGGTGGATCGCGCACGAATGCTACATGCTCAATATTTACCGCGTCAGTATTTGCATAATTTTTGTGCTGAACGCTTATCACGATGCAAGAAAATATTTTTATTTTGTATGAATAATTTGCAGATAATGCATTCCACAATTATTTTAAAATTTCCCATGTTAATTAAAATTTTTTCAATTTGTTTTGAAAGCTTTTAAGCAACGAGAGCGAAAGCATAGCGAATACGTTTTCGATGTTCACATTATGAGAGTACAAGATGCATGATGCAATAATACAAGGTGGTATCAGTTGTGACAGCTCGCTTTGACACTACCTTATCTCAGTAGAATGAGAAGAAAAACGGGAAGAAATGAATCCCCATATGGGGGAAGAATATAAAATTTCACATTTTCTGCTTAACAAAATATGCTTTTTTATAGTGTATTCGTTATGAAATGAAATGAAATAAGATAAAATATCTGTTTAAGAAAACAAAGTGTGTATACTGAGAAAAAATAAAAAGCATTCAACTATATAAATGGGCAAAGAATAGTGAAAGAAGTAACACTGTTTCACGTAAGGTAGTCAATATGGCGGAATTAGAGCGAGAAGTTGCCAACTGTATTATTGCACCATGTACAAGATGTACTGACGAAACGTATGGATCACGTTTTGAAGTGCTATACAATCTAAATTCGCCATCAACACCACCTTATATAAATTCGCCTTGGGGTGGTATGTCAAATCTCAATTCGCTCCAAACTTTACATGTATTTTGTTTTTGCTTTAGATGGGCGTGCTGTCAATAATCATATTGCCAGATTTTCATGGTAATTGAAATGTAAAATTCATTACGTCGTTCAAGCATGTGTAAATATAACATAATCCCACGTCTCCACCTTCTACTAAATGTGTGTTAACATCTGTGAAATTTCTGTTTTAACTTTGTCCCGTTTACTCATGTGGGCAACTTGCTGTATTACGCTGCGTTTACTTAAGACAATTTGAGACAAGACAATTGAGAGTATCTATTAGTTGTCAAATTGTTGTGTAAAGTAGGCGTCCAGACAATTAGAAAGAACGAATTTTTTTTTCAGGCGAAACTCAGGATAAGGCAGAATGAGAGAAGTGTGAGTGCATTACAAAAATGTGTGAATGCATTGCAACTGTCTTCCTTACTTATAGAAATGTACGATGGTGTAAATCCCGCTATTTACAATGTTAATAAACAGAGCTTAGGCAAGCAATACACACTATGACCATTCATGTGTGCAAAAGCTAAAAATACTTCAATAAAAAATTACAGCCCTTTGTTACATAATTTTTTACATTCAGCTGGAATTTTTAACAATCACGTAATGCAATGCAACACTGTCCTAATTATACCTCTTCAAGCATATCTTGCTATCCATTTTGTTTTTGTGCTGCTGGGCTACAACAATGGCCGACATTGTATTTTTATTATTATTAATTTCGATATTTCCATTACAAAACTCAAAAGGTACATTAAAATTTACCACAAATATTTTTAAAATTGCTCCTACTTAAGTCGGGGAGCATTTAACGTAAATATTTAGTGGTACTACGTGTTGGAATGCAGAGCTATTTAAGTAACTGCTATGTGGTTTTGTTCCGAAGAGCTTTGCGTTGGTGCTGTTTAGCGACGAAAGTCTTTAGACCATTTGCGGTTATGTATTGCTGTAGATATACATAATCATATAGGGTTTGAACATATTCAATATATTTATCATACATGCAAAGTAGTTAAAATGCATTGAGGTTTACATAAAAAGTATTTC